AGAGGTCAACAGGAGACAATGGTTTATATTTGTGAGAAAAGAGGAGACCAGATATGGCATCATTTGGAGAACTGGGCAGAAGAGAGGCTGAAGAAGGGGTAGAAGGATGAAGGTTTGCAATTTGGAGAGGTGGGAGATCAAAGAACAGGTAAAATGATTAGAGACAGGATGAGAAACTTTGTTGATAGTGATGGGGAAAAAGATGAAAGGGAGGGAGGTTGCAAATTATCATGTAATTTTTTTTCATTGTAAAAGGCAATAAAATCTTGCAAAGAGACAGAGGTGTGTGACATTAGGAAATGCGGGATTTTAGGAATGAGTCAAAGATTTTTAAAATGTCTATTAACAAGGCTGCAGAAATAGTGAGAATCAGTAAAACTGGAGAAATTGGGCTAATCTGGGAAGGAATAAAGCAGAATTGAAGGAGGAGTGGGCAGCCCTGTAGCGTAGGAAGTCTAGAGTTGGTCATGAGATACTCAGTAATGCTGCACCAGAGCAGAGTGGAGAAAGTAGATGATGGAGAAGAGAGTGGATGTGGTTAGAGGGACATACTTTGTGGTGTTGCAAGATGGGGCAAAGAAATCAAGACTGGAATGGAGTGAAACAACAGCAAACAACAGGGATGGGAGGAGAGGGAATTATCATAATTGCAATTATTAAAAATAATTTTCATGATTCCACTTTGAACTCCCATTTATCTCTAAGCAACATGGATGAAATGCTTGCATGCTTCATAGGGATGTAGTAAGTTTCGCTTAATCTTGGAGATCCAGGGGTAGAAGATTTCTTACAGATACAAGGTATTGTCATTATTTTCCTGCTTATTCACTACATTCATCTCCAGTGTAAATCTACTGAATTTAAGTCAACTGAGTTGTATCTGATTACATGAGGAATGAATTTGGCCCATGTGGTTCAATACAGTATATCCCCCTCCTTATAACAAAAGGGAATGCCATATTTAGAAAAGAGCGTAACTGGGGCTTAATGTACTGCCTGACTTATTTTTTTAAAATAAGAGATGTTTTAATGACAAGTCAAATCTGAAATTAGTGCAAGCAATAAGCAACAAAACTGATATTTAATGCTACAACCACAACCACTTAATTTATTTGTTTTTTTTATGCATGTCAGTACAGTTGTGGTTTTGAATACCAATTTGGTCTGCTTCTATGCCTTTCCCAGTAAAAAATAGATCTATTGTCATAGTCTGCTCGCTGGTATGCCATCTATCATTGCTCTAACCATGTAGGATTCCTTTCCTCATTGAAATTTTCTCTTTCAGAGCCTTTGCTTTTGACAGAGCTACAAAACGATGCCATTGGTTCTCTTTCAACAGCATGACGAATGGAGTGAGGAAGAAGCAAGACCATGCGTTTGATCTATATGAAAAGAAAGGTAACTGATTTATTTTCCTAACACAGTGCTACAGAGAAGGGAGTCAGCAAATGACATTTATAACTGTTTCTTGCCTAAGGGAAGGATGGTTTGTGGAGCTGATCTGTTGTGCCTTAAAACTATGTTTACAAGATGCCCTTTATCTTTGCTGAGATACACAACACAGTGATGGATTGTACATATAAGAGCCTCAGTTGTGTGACCTTTGGTATTTGTGTACCAGATTATGTGCTGGTTTCTACTGCTGCTTACTTTACTACTTAAGGGTCTAATCTAATGCGTTCGTTGATGTCAGTGTGAGTTGAGAGTACTCACTTGTATTTTTGGTAAATGAAACATTTCATTTATTTTTCAGTAGCATTTTGAATAGAGTTTAGGATTAGATACAGGTTGGACTTCTCCGGTCCAACACCCGCAGGATCTGCCCCTCCACCCAGCTTGGCTCAGCTCCAGCCCTGCTGCTACAGGGCTTAGGCTTGGCACTGGTCCGCTTCTACCAGCTGGCTGGGGCTTTCTGGGAATGGAGCTCCCCTGCCGCTGCTGCCCTGCTTCTGTCCTGCCTGGTTGGGACTTTCCAGGGATGGGGCTCCGTCGGTGCCCTGCTTCTATCCCATCCACCTGGGGCTTTCCAGGGTTGGGCTCAGTAGCTGCCTTGCTGGGTCAGAACTCCATGAGTGCCCCACTGCTGTCGCAGCCGACTGGGCCTTCCTATGGTCAGGACTCCGTGGCTGCCCTGCTGTGCTGTGCCCAGTTGGGATCCCCCAAGACAGGGCTCATTAGTCCTGATGGTGGGGCTCCCTACTGCTGGACTCCCGACCAGCTTGCATTCCAGGGCGCTGGGGCTCTCTGGTCTAGCAACAGAGTCCCGGATTTAGGTGGCTCAACCTATATTTTGAAAAAAACCCACTTTTTTGGTGAAAAAGCTAAAAATTATGATATGACATTGTAATTTTTTAAAGCTTTTGCAGAAAAAGCTGCACAACTTTATTGAAAAACAAAACAAAAAAAGCTTTTCTGAAAAAAGGCTACTTTTGACACAAATCCTTTTTATTCATAAAATGTTGATCAGGTGTAATTTTCAACAAGACTTTCCTCTAGGATCTTATTTTCCCTCTGTTTTCTTCCAACAGACTACATTAGAAACTGTATTATTGGTAAAGGTGCAAACTACAAGGGAACAATGTCTGTTACAAAAAGTGGCATCCAGTGTCAGGCATGGAATTCTATGATACCCCATGAGCACAGGTAAGTGTAGTCTGAACATAAGAAAGGCAGACTCTGTTGGAACTCTGCTAATAGTCTAGACATTATGGAATACAAATGTGTATGATGAAGAGTAGCTTCTGTTTCATTTTTAATTTTACAAATGAGTAAAGGGCCTTTGACCCTCCTCCTCTTCCAGAATTTCAGGCATTTCACCCTGCAGTTTTTGACATGACTTGATTCAGAAATTTTAGGTATTTTCTAGTTGGGACTTTTTCAGTTAGCAACCTATATTTAAAATAAAGGATTTGGGGGACAGATGGTAGACCAGATTCTAAGTTCAGTTTTGCCATGGAGTAACTGAGTAACTCCACTGAATTCTGTAATCTATATATGACCTAATTAATATCTCAGCTCAAATAAAATATGATCTAATGCAGCAAGATTTCTTCTGCCAATGCCCCCAAGTTCATTATCTTTTATATATTCAAATTTTAATATCAAGATTACTTTTAAGAATCATAAATAACCCAAGGTAGGGTGATGGTGTATATTTCAGAAACAGCATTTGAGGGGTGGCTACTGAGTGCTCCTGGCTGCTGATGGGTAGTGCTGGATGTGTTTCTGGAGTTGGATAGAGACAACTCAAGTGTGTTTCTGGAGTTAGAGACAAGTGAGTGACTATTACTCAGTGGAGGATGCTGCTTCTGGAATGTACTGATTGGAAGCATGGAGAGTGATGATGATGAATGTAGGGTTTCTAATGTGCACCACACTTTGCTCTGAAGGAAAATGTTGATTAAAGCTGCGTCCAGCCAGCTGAGTGATATGGTCCAAGCTGTTGGCTCCACAACTGTTTTAAGCAGTGCTTTGTCTTGTAACTAAGGAGAGTGACAAATGATGGGAGGCGTACAGAGTATAGGGGCAAGGAGCTATATTAGAGCTGATCAGGAGGATTATAGAACAGTCCTCTTCCTTCCTTTCTTTTGATGACCCTAGCATCCAAATCCAACCAGTCCATCTAATCAATTAAGCTATTTCTTTTTAAAAATCGGGCTAATCACACTGCAGTCATAATACCAAACCTAGAAACCATCAAAATAATATATTTTTAAAGCCAGTGTATCATAGTTTTAGAGCGATCTATAAAGGGATAGTTTCAAGGGTGGAAGATTTGGGAGATATTAGTTTATCAGTTTCACAACTGTCTATATAGTTTGGCTAATGTTACAAATCCTGTGGATTGTAAGCTTTGTCAACGCACCTTGAACCTGGGCTAGATATTTGAAATAACAATAAATAAATGAATGACTTCCCATTCATTTCCAGAAGATTATTGCTCCTCTATCCTTTTAAGTAAGGTTTAAGTTGGCCTTAAAGTATCATTATGTGCAGTTTGTAGAGGATTGGAGAGTACAAACTATTATTTTGAGAACTAGTCATAATAAATACATGTAGAATTGTTTTGGTTTATATCTTCTTTCAAGTTTAGGATTCTATCTATCTATCTGGAATGGTACAGTATCTGTAGGACTTAAATTCCTGGATTTAGGGACTGATCCTGCAAATAACTGATTGTCCTTACTTTGCAAAATCATTCTCAGATACTACTTTCTTAGGAGTCAGTAGTAGCAGGATAGAGGCTCTTGGTTTGCTGTAGGGGTAGTTGGTAAATATCTTTAGCAGTATTACTTTTACATTGTAGAAATGAAGTTAGATGGCCACTCATCTGAAAAGCATGCTGTGAAGCTGACTTTTTCCTGTCTTGCACAATATATTTTGTGTCCAAAGGTCACTTTAATAAACAAGATGGTTGCATACTACTTTTGTTTCTCAACATCAGAACATTTGATTTTATCATTGGAGGCTTGAGTGAGATGGGCTGGAAGTAAAAAGTGCAGTGTTTTGAATTTACTAACATGCAGGATGGGAGTTCTTAAGTCAGTTTTGTCACAACATCTAGTTACCACAAGGTGGCCTTTGGGGGTTGGGAGAGAATCCTATTTCCATAATCATGGAAAGCAATTAGCTTTACAAATTTTCCTCATAACTGGTACTTATTCCAGAATCTGGAAGGTTGTGCTCTGATGTTAAAATGATTATGCTACTGTTATTATTTTAGAGCCCTGTTGTGCTTAGAGACCCAACAAAACCATGGACCCCATTGTTCTAGACTCCATTGTTCTAGGTCAGGGGTGAGCAGTGATTTTTGATGGATGGCTACTCCAAGAATTTGGTAAGAGATCAAGGGCCACACTCTTCCATAATGGAGAAGACACAGGATCTGGGATGGAGGCTGTGTGTAGAAGGGAGCTTGGAGTAAGGGATTGAGATGTACAAGGGAGTGTGGGATCTGGGAGGGAGTTTGGGTGAAGGAGATTGTTGTCACCTGAGGAAGGAGACTGGGATAAAAGAGGGGGTGCAGGATCTGGGAGGGACTTGTGACCTGGGGCAGGAGTACAGGATGGTGTGCAGGGATTTGAATTGTGACCTGGAGTAAGAGATAGGGATGCAAAGTCTGGAAGGTGTTTGTGACCTGGAAGAGGCATCAAGGACGGGGGGTGCAGGGTCTGTCAGGAGCAGGGATGCAGGGGGTTTAAATTACATGGGTTAGAAGTACAGGAGGTGGGCAGGGAATTGGAGGAAGGAAGGGGCTGACATGTCAGAGGCAGGCTCTGGTCAGGCTCTCCCAGCAAGCAGCCCAGCTGGTTCCTCAGCCAGGGTACCTGCCTTCCATTCCCCTTCAGTAGTGGCAGGGGTGATGTGTAGCTGAGTCTGAATGCTGCGAGCTGGGAGGGGAATGGGTACTTCGCACGCTGCCTATCCTGCAAGCAGGTTTTACAGGAGGCAGAGGCAGCGTGCAAAGCCTCTCCCATTCTTCGCCCTGGACTTGCAATATTCAGAGAGTTGCTCTAAGCAGTGTGTGAGAGTGGGGCAGGCAGGAAGCCTGGCAAAGGCTCCCATGGGCTGTATCTGGTGGCTTGGTGGGTTGAGGTGGCCCATGGTCCTTATTTTGCCTGCCCCTATATAAATATAGAATAAGTGATATTTCTTGTTCTGAAGAGATTACACATTAAATAGACAAGGCAGACACAGTTTCCAAGGAATATAAGATAAATATGAATGGAGTGACGGCTTGCAAGCGTCTTGTTTGTTCCGCAATAACTTCATCAGTGGCTGAAATTGCTTCTTTAGTTGCTGCTGGCTTCAGTTTCTGGCTTGCACTCTGAAGATTTTTTCTTTCCTGAGCACACATGACTTGTCCTAGTGAATCGTTCTGTCTCTCAAGAGGGCTTGTCATGACTGGTTCTTATCTTTCTCTCTTTCTACCATGATGGTGCCTGCTAAAGCTATTTGTGTATATTGTTCTGCCATCATGAGTCTCTGCATAATGCTGCTCAGTACGAATAATTTCAGAAATGATTTTGACCCAGACAGCATATCTAGGGCAATATGGATTGACTGTTGCCAGTCCTTTGCAGTGGTTATCATTTCTGAACTAACAGACTCTCTGATAGTAAAAAAATAAAATGAAATATTCTTAACCTGGAATGTCACATCATGTAACACATACATGAGATATAATTCTCCATCAGAAAAGTTTGCCTAGGGCTGCCTTTATCTTGCTTTTTACTGCAACACACAGCTTCACAAACCCTGCACAACACCTCAAGTGTAGATGTCTACGATGTTTTGAGAGAGTCATATGATGAGAATGCAGAAGAGAAAAAAAGAACAAATATGCAATAGGCAACGATAAAGTGAGGAAAATTACTCTCAGCAAAGAACAAGAACAGAAAAAGGAAAAACATCTCATTCAATAATGCTACATTATATTGATTGCAACCAGAATGTGTGTAATGGATATTTTCCACCTCAGTATGTCCCAAGACTTAATTAATCAAAGGGAGAGAAGGACAAAAAATACATTTTTGGTGGGGAGCAGTGGGGTGGGGAGCTATTTTGCCTTTTTTCCTTTTCTTCTATATTCATACCATGCAGTAAGCCTAGTAAGGCAGCAACTGTAAGCTGCTCTTGTACATCTTGTATGAATTGGATCAATTCTGCTATAGGAGTGCGACAACTGGGTAATTCGGTTTAAAGAATAAACTGCAAGGCTGTGTCTGGACTGGCAAATTTTTCCAGAAAATCAGCAGCTTTTCTGGAAAAACTTGCCAGCTGTCTACACTGGCCACTTGAATTGCTGGAAAAGCACTGACGATCTTATGTAAGATCATCAGTGCTTTTCTGGAAATACTATGCTGCTCCCGTTCGGGCAAAAGTCTTTTTCCAAAAGACTTTTGTGCAAAAGGGCCAGTGTAGACAGCACAGTACTGTTTTCCGCAAAAAAGCCCCGATCGCAAAAATGGCGATCGGGGCTTTTTTTGCGGAAAACCGCATCTAGATTGGCCATGGATGCTTTTCCACAAAAAGTGCTTTTCCGTTAAAAGCATTTTCGGAAAATCATGCCAGTGTAGATGTAGCCACAGTGTATAGTTCTATATTAGCTATCTGTCCTTTTGATAGCCCTAGCACTACAGTAACCCCCAGCACAGACAAGCAGAGTGGCTATTAGCGCTGAAGATCTTACCCCAGTTTCAAGGAACAGTAAGCAGAGCAGTCTACACTGTGGCTACGTCTACATTGGCACCCTTTTCCGGAAATGCTTAAAACAGAACAGTTTTTCCGTTCTAAGTATTTCTGGAAAAGCGCATCTACATTGGCAGGATGCTTTTCCGAAAAAGCACTTTTTCCAGAAAAGCGTCCGTGCCAATGTAGACGCGCTTTTCCTCAAAAAAGCTCCGATCGTCATTTTTGCGATCGGGGCTTTTTTGCGGAAAACAGTACTGTGCTGTCTACACTGGCCTCTTGCTTTTCCGGAAAAGCAAGAGGCCAGTGTAGACAGCTCGCAGCTTATTCTGGAAAAGCAGCTGGTTTTCCAGAATAAGTGGCCCAGTGTAGACACAGCCTGTGAGTTTCACCAGCCCAGCTACACCAATAGTTTTAATTAGGGCAAATCACTAGTGTTGACAAATCCTAAGATACAAACTTGTATATATTTTTACTTTACTTTACTTGGTCCTAAGGGCTCATCATAAAACACGGGAAATGTATATATTTTTACTTTACTGCAATCCTACATCCTAATGGCAATGATCCAAAATCCATTGATATCAATGGGAATCTTTCTACTGACTGCATTAGGTGTGGATCATATCTTATGCCTTTGTTTCTCTCCCTGTATAAAAGTTTTTACTCTGAGGATGTGCAGGAAAGCAGTTATATTAGGGGTTTTTTTTTAAATGAATGAGTATAGTGGTGTGAAAAGTGCAAGACTGAGAATCATGGATATGGTCACTTATTCACAGAGCAGGAACACTTCCAATTCATGTTGCTGATTCATTGTGCTTTAATTCTGTTATCTCCATGTACACTCAGTCTTTGGCTTTAACATTTAGACTCCATGTCCACTCAGTCTTTGGCTCTCTAATAAGACTTCCACCAACTGTGACAATTAGTACTAATCAAAGGGTGTTTGGTGTTACTATATGGCGACACAGCCAACTATTTATATTTATATTACCAAAGACCTATCCTGACATTGCTCTTTACCAGCCGTAGGTATATATCAGTGACCTACAGGTGAAAGGATCTGGTTTGCATAGAATATTGTAAAATATCCTCTTTGTATTCAGGTAATCCCAGGGTAATGGTACATTTGCTAGGAACTTTCCAGTGATTTGATTCCAAAAATTATTCTTTGACTTTTCACAGAACCTCATTTTTTTTCACTGCAAATGGGAATAAAACAAGAATTCGAGCTGGGAAGCAGATTCTGGAAGCTTAAAAAATGGCTCAAATATCACTCCAGATTACAAAAGAACTGGAACCCAAACTCCAATTTTTTTCTAGGTTTAATCATTTCAGACAAATAGCACATCTTCTTCCTAATTTCTGAGTACCCTTTGTTATTGCCAATATACATCTCAGGACATGACCATCTCTGGTACATCACACTTAGTATTACAGTCGTAGTTGGATTTGTCCAGTGCCCCAATTCTCACTGATGGGGACCTTCAAACAAGGATGATCTACCTGAACTGAGAATACAAAATCTAAGGGAAATATCTGCTACCTGTACTCAGGTTGCATAGCACTTTATCATGCAAGTTGTCCCATTGGAATAGATCTAGAGATGTCTATATTTTTACTGAACACAATAGAAATTTAGTGGATTAAATTACTGTTAAATGACCTCATTTATGTGATGAATCTTCATTACATTACCTTAACTCTGTCTGTGGGGGAAGGGGAGGAAGGACACAAGAATTTGATACGTTTTAACTGTACATGAATATAGTAAGATTTACAATAAAGTTTGCATGCTCTTATACTGTAATGATTGTCATTTTAAAACTAGCTTTTTGCCTTCGAGCTATCGGGGTAAAGACCTTCAGGAAAACTACTGTCGGAATCCCCGAGGGGAAGAAGGAGGGCCTTGGTGTTTCACAAGCAATCCAGAGATACGCCATGAAGTCTGTGACATTCCTCTCTGTTCAGAAGGTAACATGACACAATTGATACCATAGAAAAGTCTCTTGTGCCCTGGAATCAAGTGTATAACTCTCATTAGCTATTAGTATTTACCTATGGGCTTTAAACAAAGAACAATCAATTCTTAGTAAGAATGACCTATTTAGCAAGTGGTGTTTGACTAATGATGTGCTTATCACACATATTAGATCCTATGAACAGCTCTCTAGTCCACTACAGATCAGCAAACAATCTCAGTTGTGTTACGTACATTATGGAAGCACCCACTGCAGATCTATAGTTAATGTTGAGTAGAGTTTTGCACTTTATATGTTATCTAAATAATGGATTAGAAGATGAATGGTAAAAGTTCATTTTTGTTTTACCTTCCAAATAATGCTCAATCTGTAAGAAACATTGGTCCATGTGATTGCTGTAGAGCATTCGGACAGGGTGCCTTCCATCAGCTGATATTTATAAATAAGAACATAAGAATAGTTATTAATGGTTTATCCTGTCATCTGACTGTGGCCTTTGACAGATACTTCAGAAGGAATTAACAAAACAAGGAAATTTCAAGTGATCCATTCCTAGTTTTCCAGTCCCAACTTCCAGTAGTTATAGTTTTAGGGACTCCCCCAGGTGTGGTGCTGCATTCCTGATTGTCTTGGCTAACGGTCTTTGATGAACCTATCCTTCATTAGCTTATCTAATTCTTTTTTAAATCTAGTTAACTTTTGGCCTTCACAACATCCTCTGGCAACAAATTCCACAGGCTGAATGTGCATTGTGTGAAGAAATACTTCCAGTAAACCTGTTGCCTATTAATTTCATTTGGTAGCTCCTAATTCTTGTGTTCTCTGAAAGGGTAAATAACATTTACCCATTCACTTTCCTCACACCATACATGATTTTCCTTAGAGTCCTCTATCATAGCCCCCATTGATTGTCTTTTTTTCTGAGATGAACAGTCCCGATCTTTTTAATCTCTCCTCATAATGAATCTGTCCCATTCCTCTTATAGCAACTTACTGGTTTTGATTTTTATATAATTAAATCTTTTGGCACTTCACAAAATGTGATCAGTTATATTCAATATATTGATTCTAAGAGTTGGGATCAGCAGTTCTACAGTTCAGGACTATATTAATCGGACTGATTTATTTACCTCAACTCTAAGCCCTTCTACTCTGCTGGCATTTGAAGTAAGCTTTGCAGTATACTTGGAAGGCTACGAGATCCAGGCTCTGGAAGACTAAGAACCAAAATTTACAGCCTGTCTCTGCTGCAGCTAGAATTAGAACTGCAGCTGAATGTGGGATGAAGGCCTTGACTGATGATTTGACTGAAGAATTCATTTTCTGACTGCCTAAATTATCATTTTCCATAGCTTGTTTCACACTAGAAAATTAGGTTCATCTAGCTAAATTACTCGGGGGAGTGGATTTTCCAGGGTGAGAGGTATACTTAAACTGACCTATTAATGTGGCTGCTGCCTCTTTGATAAGTGGATTACCTACACCAGTGGGAGTATCCCTCCTGTTTGAAGGAGGTAGAGTCTACATTGAAGCAGTGCAACAGGTCAGGGATAGACAAGTCCTAAGTGATTTTTATATTTAAACGTTTGTATACACCCACACACACTACACACACTCTTCAGGGCCTGGGGATATTTCAGTTGGGAGCAGGAATTGCTGATGATGGAGTCTGGTACATTCTTCGATACAATCTTGTTTATTTACAAGGAGTGTATATTATCCTGCTCCTTTGAAGTAACCAAAGGCAATAGGACCACATGCTCAAGGTCCAACTGGTTACTGTATTGGGGATTGGGAGGAAATTTTCTCCTGGGTCAGACTGGTAGAGACTCTGGGATTATTTTGTCTTCCTTTGCAGCATGGAGTATAGGTCACTTGCATGTTTAAACTGGTGTAAAAGTGGATTCTCTGTAATATCACATCTTGAAATCATGATTTGAAGATTTCAGTAACTCAGCCAGAGGCTAGGGGTCTACTACAGCAGCGGATGGGTGAGGTTCTATGGCCTGCAATATGAAGAAGGTCAGAATAGATAATCATGATAGTCCCTTCAAAGCCTTAAAGTCTATGAATTATGAAGAGTGGTTTCTTAGCATACAGGCCCAGCAGTCTTTTGGACCAGCACTCCAATCCAGAACTTTTCTGAGTTTCTCTTAGGGTCTCTGTGTTTCGACAAGTTTTAGCTCTGTTTTCTTCAGGCTGTCTCAGTTGCTCCCTGGCTCTGTGTTATGTTCCTGCTTGCTCACTCACAGATTTACCCAAAACATCAACACAAACTTTCTATCCACACAATCCAAAACTCCTGGTTCAGGTCACATGACCCTTTTGCCTTAAGTGAGTGATTGTGATTAATTTATGCCAATGCATGAGTGCATTCACACCTATTAATTTCAGTGAGATTTTAACTTTATCTATGACCAGGTTACATCACAGCTAGTATGTATAGATAGCTAGACAGACAGACACACAAGCAAGTTTCACTTACTTAATCAACAATAACATTGCTTGGTTGGTGTGCAGTTCATCAAAACTTAAATCTAGATCTCCATTCAATACTCAAAACTAATTTCTATAAAGGGCTCATAAAAGATGCTCGGTATATAAATGCCTCAAGCATTTTCATCGAGATGTATCCAAAAGTAATTTGAGCTAATTTGGCACCGAATCTAAATATTATGCGATACATTATTTTGAAATGCATTTCTTATACTTGTGTGAAAGTGATGATCAAGGAATTAATATTTTTATAATTCTCTGTGCAGGACAGCAGTTTATGACAGAAATTTCTTTCTACTACTTTTATGAGCTACTAACAGACTTATTTTTTTGTTTTCAGTTGAATGTATGACCTGCAATGGAGAAAGTTATAGAGGGCCAATGGATCACACTGAATCAGGCAAGGAATGCCAGCGCTGGGACCTTCAGAGACCACACAGGCACAAATTCAGACCAGAGAGGTAAAATACTTCTTACTGTTGTTTTTCTAAAATTACACATACTCTGATACTTGTTAGACCTAACCTCAGCTGGTTTAAATCAGCAAGCCTTCATAAAGTGCAATGCAGCTGTGTGAATTTACATGGTCTGAGGAGAGATATATGTCTATATACTGAGAGCTAGTGTCTCACTTTAGAAAACATAGCATAACTAAATAAATAATATTAATTACCAATAACAGTAATTCTTTACACTTTCCAAAGATATCAACACAAAATTAATAATTTACAATATATCTATTTACTTCAATAATGAATAGCTAGAGTCTATATAATTATCAGGCTTAGCTATCCAGTTTATGTTGTGTGAAGTGTTAAAAAAATCAGCACTGATTTTCAGCCTGGGAAAGCAATTGTACATGGTTACATTCAGAATTTTATGATCATAGATTTATGTTTGGACAATAGTTTGATGAGATGTAGATATAAAGCCAAAAAAGTGAGTCAGAAATAGCAATATAAATGCAGTCAAGAAAGATTTTATTTTAGTGGGTAAAATTTACCAAAGTGCAGACGGCCATCTGCAACATTTACACTTCCTTCTGGAGAAGCTATGTGGGTGGATTTAGGCCACACATAAAGGCCTTTGATCCTTTATTGCATTAGGGTGGGAAAATCTTGCATGGTCTCATACTGAAAAAGGAGTATCTGAAAATTTTGATTTTAACTAAACCCATTAGTAAAATAATGCTAACCTACCTCACAATAAAGTTGTAAAGCTTAATTAATATTTGAAAATATCTGTGATCTTCTGAATGTGTCCATATAAACACCAAGTGCAAATAGTGAAATGTATTTACTTAGGCTTTAGAATAAAGCACTGGTAGTTTTAGGCTATGTCTACACTAATGCTTTGATATAATTTATGTGGCTCAGGAATGTGAATAAATCAAAACTACCAGGGAAAAAGAAGTCTGAGATCTGTTTTACACTATTGTTAAGTCAAAATAAGGCATTAAAATGTTGCTCCCATTGATGTAACTTGGTGAGGCCAAGCAGTGTAGCATGGAAAGGCAAAAGCAGTTTATTTACAGTAGTGGCTGTATGCCAACATAACATAGGTCAACCTAATTCTGTAGTATAGATTTGCCCTAAGGGGGACACCTTGGCATCACTATGGAAATTTTCTCATTGATTTCAGTGGAGCCAGGATTTCATTCTAGGGCTTTTTATCTGCACAGACACACTGCGGCACATTCATGGAATCCCATTGAGATTAAGATGGTTTGGGGCAGCAGTCCCTCTGTATGAAGCACAATGCAGGAATGTGGCTTATATCTATGTATGGCAGAGAAATACTGAGATGTGCTACTGCACTTTAAAGTCTCTGTCTTTTCAATACAACTCCCTAATTTGTATCACTGATATGAAAATGCCCTTTATACAACAACTTGGCGTTGTTTCCTCTAGAGCAAAAATTTGGACTATTTTTGAATGGCTTTAGCTGCTACAAAACACTATTTAATTTTAAGTGTGACAAATCAGAAGGCCAATTAATCACTAGTGGAATTTACTTACATCAGGGATGTATTTTGGATGTAAATTTCAGTATGAAGAAATAAATAAGGATCATCCACCAGTATTAAAGAATAATGTTGGTCTGTCAGAAAAAATACGTAATATTCACATCTTCAGTTGCTAACTCTCTTCAGACAGCCCTATCTCTGACACTTGGAGGAGTGTCTTGTTGCTTTCCTAGGTTCCTATTGCCACTTTAGTGGATGATGGGAGAAAAACCCCCCAAGACAACCAAATTTAACAAAAATCACTAAGCAGGTGTACCAGGGAATCTAAAAGATTTCAGTAACCCCGCAGATCCTGATCTGATCCAAGCAGGCAGCTTTGGCTCTGCCTGTGTGTTGCGGAAAAGAGACCTTGAAATCAAACCAACTGCTATAGGGACATTACATAATTCTCAGTGACAAAAATATGAGGTTGCATGAGCCAGATCGCAGCCCCATCATCCAGCTTATCCCTGCTAGTTCTGGCTCCCTGTGAGGGAAGGGACATTAAATGGTCTTCTGCTGTAAGGAATAAAATAGCTACTGAGTAACTCCAAGGCTGTGTCTACACTGGCGCAATCTTGCGCCAAAGGGGCCACTCTTGCACAAAAACTTGCTACCTGTCTACACTGTCCATGTGTTCTTGTGCAAGTAAACTGACATTCTACTGTATAAAATCAGGGCTTCTTGCGCAAGGACTAAGATGCTCCCACTCAGGAATAAGCCCTCTTGCACAACTGTTCTTCCGCAAGAGGCCAGTGTAGACAGGCAACATGAATTTCTTGCACAAGAAAGCCCTATGGTTAAAATGACCATCAAAGCTTTCTTGCACAAGAGAGCGTCTACACTGGGGCTGTATCTACACTCGCATGATTTTGTGCAAATACTTTTAACGGAAGAGTTTTTCCATTAAAAGTATTTGCGCAAGAGAGCGTCTATACTGGCATGTGCCTTTGTGCAAAAGATTTGCTTTTGCGCAAAAGCATCCATGCCAGTGTAGAAGCTCTCTTGTGCAAGAAAGCTCCGATGGTCATTTTAGCCATCGGGCTTTCTTGCGCAAGAAATTGATGTTACCTGTCTACACTAGCCTCTTGTGCAAGAACACTTGCACAAGAGGACTTATACCTGAGCGGGAGCATCAGAGTATTTGTGCAAGAAGCACTGATTTTGTACATTACGTCAGTGTTCTTGCACAAATGCTCGTGGCCAGTGTAGACAGCCGTCAAGATATTGTGCAAAATCTTGCCAATGTAGACACAGCCTAGCATGGATGCGCTTATGCAAAAGCACATCTCTTGCACAAAAGCACATGCCAGTGTAGACACTCTCTTCTGGAATTGTTTTTTGCACAAGAACTCTTCCTCAAAAGAGTTCTTGCGCAAGTAGCTGCCAGTGTAGACGTAGCCCAAGGGACATGGAAAGGAGCAAGCAGATCTGAGAACACTGTCGGCAAAATCTGTAACTGAACAGGACAACTTCTTCCTTGCCTACTCTCTCTGCACATGAGCAAATGAGGGCGATAAACTGGAGCTCTTGTGGTTTCTAGAGGCGAAGGAAGTAAAAAAGGGCTAGCTTTTGTACACTAACACCCTCCTGCAACCCAAACCATTTGTAGTCCTTGCATCCCTAAGAATCCTGTAATGTTCTGGGTGTAATGCTGAGAATACAGTCAGTGGATAATGCTGGACGTTTTCCTGCTTTTCTGTCTATATAGCTTGATCCTGCAAAATGCTGAGCACTTTGACAATGATTAAATCCATAAGTGATTCAGTTGAAGTTAAGCCTGTGCCTAAGTGTCTTGCTGGATTAGGACCAGAGTGCTCAGAACCTTGCAGGATAGAACCCTTAGTGTACAGTTACCTGATGGCATTTAAGGGAAATGGTTCTGATGATCATAACCCAGCTGGTATCTTACCCTGTCCCCATCTCAGGAACTGATTGGTTGTGGGGATCAGGGAAAGGGCGTTGGAGATACCAGCGTCCTTTTAAACTTCACCCCCTCCCAGTTTAGAACTAAGTAATTGTCTTGAAGCAGTAATGATCATTGTGAAGCACAGCAATTAGTACAATAAACTTCCGATAATCCGGTACCTTTAGGACCCAGGGGGTGCCTGATTATCAGATATGCAGGACTATAGGGAGGGGGGCCTATGAGGTGTCTGGGGTGGAGTGAGGGGGATGTGCCTCTTGGCACTGCGGGACCAACCCATTAGCACCCCAGCTGCTCTGCCCCAGGCGTCCCCGAGTCAGCCGCTGTTGAAACTGACCAGCGGCTGACTCCGGGAAGCCCGCGGGAGAGCAGCCGGGGGGGGGCCCGGGG